GCGTTGCGGTTGGTGGACGGGAAAGGGGCCAGGGGACCACAGAGGTGAGCAAAACCGTCAAGAAGGCACAGGGACACACAGCGACCGGAGGCGGAGGTTGCACGAGATTGGCTTGGTCTGGAGGTTCGCAGAGATGTGCGCAGGCATTCGAGGCTCCCAAAAAAGCCGTGTGCGGGGCGCACAAACCTGCAATTCCGTACAATTCCCCCAAAAGAAACACGGCTGCCGAGACCATTGTGCTTCCACCAAACTTTCGCCGCGTGGCGGCGCCGCCATCACCGCGCCCCACCTGATGGCCCCCAGTGCTGCGGCCTGCAGCTCCCCCCTCCAGGGCCTGTCCCCCCCGTCCTTGCGGTAGATCCACGACACCTTGACCGCGCGGTAGCCAGCACCTGGGGAGGGTTGAGGGGGGGGGAGGGGTGGGGTGGGGGTCGGGATGAGGTGGTGGAGAGGGTGGTCGGGGTGTGAAGGTGGGGGTGGTGGGGGTGGTGCATGGGATTGTGGAGGTCCAATGGCCCTTGGTCAGGGCAGAAGGCAGGGGTGGACAGCAGCCCTGATGGCTCCCAGGGGAGCAGCCAGATGGCGGCGGGCCAAGGAGGGGGGGCTAGAGGGGGGCAGGCATCCAAAATTGCAGGAAGGCGAGGCCAAGGGAAGGTGTGGTACAATGCTGCTCGCCAAAAAAGGTAAAAAACAAAGAAACACAGCCCCCAAGCTCCTCGCCCTCTCACCGGGTGCCACTGGTCCGTGCACTATGCGTCCCGCTGCGGGGTGCTCAGGCACCTGAATGACCGCCTCCTCCGCCACACGCGCTGGCGGGCGGGGGCCGGGTGGGAGAGGGAGGGCGGGGTGGAACAGTCAGGCACCCAAGAGAGTCGGGGGGAAGCCTGCTGCCGGGTTGTTGGTCTATAAGAAAGCAGAAACGAAGTGTTGGGGCAAGCGCGGAACGCCGTGACTGCTCGCAGTGTCCCCAGACCCACATCGCACCTGCACCCGGCCGCCCCTGCTGCTGCTGCTGCCCCGGCCCCGCGGCCAGCCCCCCGAGCCCTGAAACGTCCAGGGGCTTTGCGTCCGGGTGCACGTTAGTGATGAGGGACAGCATGAACACCTGCTCGCGCGGCAGCTTCCCACCAGACCTGGGTTCGTTTGTGTTAAGAGTGGGGATGAGGTTGAGGGACGAGACCAGGGCAGGCGAGAGAGGACGACGGGACGGCATGCAGCCTCCTGACTGCGGGGTCCTGGTGTGTCCTCATGTGGGCCACTTGACTAGCCTCATGTACCGTCTCGGCTCAATCTTCCAACACACGAACCTCCCTTGCGCCCCCAAAACCCGAGGCAGCCCGGATGTTTGCCCCCCGCCCTGGTGCTCACTGTGCCTCTGGCGAGAAGGCAAACCTGTCCGTAGGCAGCAGCAGCGCCACCTTGCCGCCCTTGCTGCACCAGGGCAGGCGGAAGTGGCGGTTCTTAGTGTACACGCCGCGGTCCACGACACACACGCGCGCCTCACCACCACCACCACCATTCACACCGCCGACGCCGCCGTGAGGGGCCGGCTTGCGCACGTAGAGGCGTTCCAGGGCCTCGGGCCTCCCCAGCAGCGACGCCACGAACGCGCCCGCGGCGATGTTGTCGGCAAAGGCGTAGCCGGGGGCGCGGATGATGAGGTGGCGGCTGAATTTCTCGGGGGTGGTGCTGTCCAGCTCAACAACCCACTGCGGAACGGTGGGAGTGGGTCCAGGCAGACACGCGGGCACATAGGGGTTGCGGGTGAAAACTGAGAAAGGTCCACGATACGGCAGAGGCCGACTGGTTGCCTTGATGGAGGGAATGGCAAAGCCCTAGAATCAAGACGCATGGGTCCAAGGGTGCGCGAGCGCCACCGCGCGGAGAGCCAACATGGGCCCGTTGCAAAGCTCCACGCCTGCACCGACACAAGCCAACAACTGCTGCGGCCCTGCGACTGCAGCGCGCACTGGCGCCGGCGCCCCCGCCCTCACCTCTGGCTGTAGCTTGAGGCCCCAGCGCGCGTCGTACTCTTGCCGCACCATCTTGACCAGCACAGACACCAGCAGCTCGCCACGCACGTCAGGGTTGGCGCGCCTTGACACAGATGAATGTGATGTTTGAAGGCAAATGTGAGTGGGGGAGGAGGGCAGCATACCACTGGAGCCCGGCCAGGGGGGGTCTTGGTGCTGTTGCAAGTGTTGACGCTGCAGCACTTGTGTGGAGTACTACGCTGCGCATGCCCCAGCGAGCCTCTGGCAGGAGTAACCCTCGCTGTCCTGGCCTTCAAGAACGCTGTCCCGGCCCGCCATACGACAAACAGGCACTGGCGGACTCCTCCTCTCTCCCTGAATGACCGTGGAAAGCGGTCAAATGCGGTGCAGCACAGCAGCACGCCGTCACCACTTAGCACCTGCCCCCACCAACCCCCGCCCACCACCTGCAGAACTCGATGTCAAAGTAGAGGTGGCAGGGCCGCCTCTCCCAGATGATCTCGTACAGATAGCGCTCGTGGGGCGGCTTGCCCCGCAGGCGCAGCCACAAGGACTGGGGGAGCGCAGGGCGGAGAGGAAATCAGCGATGCAGCAGGCGCCAAGGCGCATTGAGGTGGTCATTCGGGGATCACATGCTTTTGGCCATCGCAGGATACGAACAATGTGACTGCCTGCTCAGAAGAATAGAACATTCTCGTGCACTGATTTGGCACACATGATTCCCACCTGGTAGGAAGCTGCCAGGAACTTGCGTGTGTATATGCCACTGAAGTTCTTGTACTCCTCTGTGAACATGCGCACCCAGGTGTCCCGCACAAACGCCGGCCGCACAGTGACGTCACCATCCGCGCCACCCTGCCGTGTGTCATGGCCCTCCGCTGCCACAGCCTGCTGCTGCTCCTGATGCTGTCGCTGTTGCTGGGCCGCATGCCCGCCGCTGCGCTGCTCTTCCGGCAGCAGCGCAGCCATGTGGTGCTGCAGAGTGGCCAGACGCTCGCCAAAGCTCCTGAAATTGATGCCCTTCGTGGCTGCCTGCGCGGCGTTCAGTGCGCCAGCATGGGGATCGAGAGTCAGCCATTGCTTGCCACACACTACAGATCGACACTTACGACCCATGGGATGGCCCAAACATCCGCCGCAGTTGCAGGGGCCAAGGAGTGCAGCAGCGCCAGCTAATACGTTGCGGGCAATGCGCCCCCCCCCCCCCCCCCACCGCACCTGCAGCTGCCGCACGCGCTCCGGCCCAGCAGCATTGCACCACTCTGCATACTGGATGGCTTCCTTTTGGAAGGGGAAGCTCTCACACACTTCAGGCCCCAGGTCGAAGAAGGTGGGGTCGGCCGCTTCAGGGGGCAGATGCAGCGGCGCCCGTGCCTGCGACACCTGGGAGTCTGAGGGAGCAGGCTGCTGCTCCTGCTGCTCCTGCTGCTCCTGCTGCTGCTGCTGCTGCTGCTGCTGCTGCTGGTGGTCCTCTTCCTGCTGCTGCTGCTGCTGCTGCTGCTGCTGCTGCACGCGCGTTGGCGGAGGCAAGGGGCCAGCGCCAATGGCACTGCCGTGACTGCCAGCGGGCGCCCCCAATGACACACCTCCCGCAGCCACAGCCGCTGCAGCCGCTCGGGTGACGCGCACAGGCGACAACGCCTGTGGCGCAGGTTGCGGCCCCTGGCAGAGGCGCTCTGTCTCGCGCTGCAGGCGTTCCACCCTCTCCAGCACCTCTGTGGCGGTCAGGAAGCCGATGCTGGGCATGCTGCCACCGCCAGGGGACCCCACCGGCTCATCTGGCTGAGAGGGCACGGACTCTTGGGAGCGCAGGCCGGCGCCGCGCTGTCGGTGTCCCGCATGGCGACGGGGCCGCTCTTCTTGCTGCTGCCCCTGCTGCTGCGCCTGCTGTTGCTGCTGCTGTTTCTGCTGCTGCTGTTGCTGCTGCTGTTGCTGTTGCTGTTGCTGTTGCTGCTGCTGTTGCTGCCGCTGTTGCTGCTGCTGCTGCTGCTGCTGCTGCTGCTGCTGCTGCTGCTGCTGCTGCTGTGCCTCCTCCTGCTGCTGCTGCTGCTGCTGCTGCTGCTCTATGACTGATGACGACTTTTCCCCGCCAGTGCGCTGTGCCGTTGCCGCCACCGCCTGCTGCTTTCTGAGCTCTGCAGCCTGCTCCGACCGCTGGCTGAGCACCCGCGCCTGCCGTGTGCCTGGCACCGGTGCAGCCTGCTGCTGGCGTCCCTGCGCCAGGGGGCTGCCGCCGTCCCCGTCCTGCTGCCCTTGCTGCCTGCGGCTCAGCTCCTGCTCGTCACCAGACTCAGCGCGGGCATCCGCTCCCACCACCATTGCTGCAGCGCCACCCTCGCCAGCTGCGCCAGCCTCCCCGCGCTGCTTCCAATTGCTGCTGCGCCCCCGACCGCCAGCGCCCGCCTCCGCGGTGCCCGCCGCCGGCGCCGGTGCTGCTTCTGCCGGGAACGGCTGCCGCACCCGTGGCCGCTCGCGGGCTCCGTCTTGCTCACTGCCACTGCCACCGGCGCGAGCCCTCGCCGCGCCTGTCACGGCCGCTGTGGCCGCGGCGCCGCCGTCTGGCGTGATGGCCATGGGGCTGTACACCGGCCCCGGGCTGAGGCCAGGGCTGGTGGATATGCTCATGGGGGAGCCGCCTGCACCACCCGCACCTCCCGCCTGCGCAACGCCGCCACGCAGCACGGCTGCATGGGGCCCGTGTGGCGTCGCGGCGGCGGCGGGGGAATACGCCGCGGCAGGAGGCGCCGAGGCAAAGCGGAGGCGCTGGGGCGTCTTTGTCGTCTCGGCCGCGCCCTGCTCAGCCTGCTGCTGCTGCTGCTGCTGCTGCTGCGTGCCACCCTTGATGACCTGCACGGGGGACCCAAAACCCTCTGGCTGCCGCTGGTGGCCCTCAAGCGCTGCTACGTCCTGCGCCACAGCAGGCGCATTAGCCAGCCCCGGTTGCCTCGGTGGGGACGGCGCGGCGTGCTGCGGGCCCTGGGCCTGCATGTGGCCCTGCACATGACTCACAGGCTGCTGCTGCCTCGGCGCAATCGCGGCATCAGGCACGGCCGTGGGCTCGTGTGCGCCGCTGGCCCCCTCCTGCAGGATGCTGGTCACGTCCACAGGCCCCAGCTGCCGGATCTGCGCCAGCCCCTCGCGCAGGCTGGAGCGCAGCCAGTTGCAGTAGCGGGACACCGCCACAGGCAGGGGCACCTCGGGGGCTGCCCCGCCCTCATCCTCGCCCTCGACCGCCTCCTGATCTTCCCCCCGTCGGCCTTCCTTTTGCTGCTGCGAAGCCCTGACCACTGCCGACCGTGCGCTCGCCCTCGCCAGCTCGACTTTCGCATCCGCTCGCCCCATGTGCCTGGTTGCGGCGCGGTTGCTGCCGCGCGGGCCTTGCAGCTGCTCGGGGGACGCCAGGGCCGTCGGGCCCGAGGGGGAGACCATCTCAACGTCGCTGTCGCTGTCCCTGGTGCCGTCTGCGGCGCCGCCCCTGGCGACTAGCTGCTGCCGGGTGCGCATTTGCCCACGCTGCCCCTGCCGCTTCTGCTGCTGCCCCTGAGGCTTGGCGTGTGCGTCCTGCGACGCATGCCGCTGTGCCTGGCGCTGTGGCAACTGGTGTGGTGGCTGCTGCAGCTGCGGTCGCTGCCGTGGTGGCAGCGGGCCTGGGGGTGTGTCGGCCGTCAGGTCGATGAGGGGGGTCCCTGCCACACCCGTCGAGCCGCCAGGCGATAAGTCGTCATCGCTGTCGCCGTCGCTGCTCCCGGTGCTGTCTGCGGTCAGGAATGTCGACGTGTCGGTGCTGGCAACATCCTGGGCGCCATCCGGCTGACGCTTCTGTTGGTGTTGCTGCTGCTGCGGCGGGTGCTGGCGGTGGCGCGGCTGCAGGGCGCCGCGACGTGCGCCTGGCGTGTTGCCCTCGGTCTGCAGTGTCGCCGCAGCGGTGGCGGTCGCGGCGCTGGCGTCAGGCTGCCGCTGGCCATCGCCTGTCGAGGTCTCTCCGCCGTGCAGGACCCACGCCAGCCGGCCGTACTTGGGCGGCTCAGGGGCCTCCACCTCTCGCGCGCGCTTCGTGGGCCGCTGTCCTCCAACAGCGGCAGCAGCAGCGGCGGCAGCGTGCTGAGCGTGCTGCGCGCCCCGCGGCTGCGCCTGGGCCTCACCAACGCGGTCCGAGCGTACTGCGGCAGCCCCGCGCCTGGCCGTGCGGCCGGCAGCCTTCTTGGGGGGCATGGACCCCGTGAAGAAGTGCCGCGCGACCGATGCCGCCAAAAGCAGCGAGCTGCACCAGCTGCTTTTCGAGCTTGTGCACCTTTGGCAGAACCCTATTATGATTCAGCACCTGTGTACAATTACATTGATCATATACATGTGTGCTGGAGGTCTCACAGCGCCGGCTAGTGCATCTGGGCTGTCGTTCAGCGCAACAACACCGACTTTGGCCGCGACTGTCTCAGCACGATGACTGTATGATAAGCCTCAGTAACGATGCAATTCAGCGACAATTGTCCGATCAAATTGTTCAAGACACGCCTTCTCACTGAAAAACCACGGGTAGTCACCTCTGAAGATCTCCTGATCTCAGCTCTCAGCAGCTGCGTCCGCGGGCTTCAATCCCGCAGCACTGCCTTCAGCACCGCCTCGAACGCAACTGCGCCATCAGAACGCGTGCGTCTGCTGGTCAGCGTCATCTCCACGCGCTCAAGACTTGATTGCTGCACACGGGCCGCGGTTCTGCTGCTGCGAGCGCTCCAGCACATGCGGTCCGGCGTGGCGCAGCAAGTTCTGTCCCTCTACCGCACCATTCTGAGGGCGGCACGCATCAAGGACCAGGAGACTCGGCGGAGCGTGGCCGCTTACGCCAGGGCAGAATTTGACAGGTGCAGAGTTTCGCGCCAGCAAAGCGCACGAGGCACCGCCGCCACTGCCCTCCTGCCGCCGCCCCCCTTCATGCATCTCAAATTGCGCACGCCGCTAGCCAGATTGATTGTGCCCCACCACAAGATTCCTGTATTGTCCCCTCCCCCTCTCCCGCGCCGCCAAGCCCAGGTCTCGTTCCGTACCCAAGACAAATGTGCAGCAGATTGAGCACCTGCTGAGAAAGGTGCGCGCGCGGCCTGGCAGGGACGCAGCAGTTGGCCGAATCCTGCACAGCCTGCGCGCACCGCTCCTATAACCTTATGCTCAGCATCGCGGCTCGACTGCGTTGACAGCCCCAATACTGACGCCCGACGCCTGACGCCCTTGCAGGGCGAAAGGCAGCTGGCACAACTGCAGGACCCCCATTTCAGCGGGTTCCGTTGGGGCGGACGCGCGGCGCAGTGACGACCGCTGCTGTGACGGCCGCCATTGTGGCTACATTGGCGGCGGTGGCGGCGTGTGCAGCGGCCAGGGGCAGACAAACAGCCCAGGGCCGCTTGTGGCAGGCATGCATGCAGTGGTGTCAACAGGGCCGGTGATGGCTGGTGCAGCGTCCTCTGTGGCAGGTGGCAGGGGATGGTTGTCGGCTGCTGCGATCTGCTGCAGGGCTCCTGGGGAGTGGCGGCCGCATGCGCAGCTGACCACATCCCCAGCAGCAGTGCGACAGTGGCGCGCGCCCGCATGGCAGCCAGCACCACTGCAGCAGCGCCGCCCAAGGCGGCGGCGTGCCGTGCCGGCTCCTCTGGCTGCGGCCGTGGGGGCGCTGCCGCTGCCGCAGCTGCTGCCCGCCTCGGGGCCATGGGGTGTGTGGTGCGGCCTCATCTGCGCCGGAGCCTTTGGGATGTGGGCAGAGGTGAGTCGCCACGCTGAAAACCGGCGACTCAGCGTTGCAGCCGGCCCAGCAGCATGGGCCCTGCGTACTCTCCGCACTGCCGCAAGCACCAAAGTGAGTCTTCTTCTGCTTTGAAACCACCCCAGCGCCTTGTAGTCACACCTCAAACTCATCCCACCCCACCCCCCACCACCAGCTCTCCCGCTCACCTGCCCAGACTCAAGCCTCAACCCCATCATGGCTCATTCCCCCCGCCTTGCCACCGCCGCTCATCAGCGCAACACGCGGATTGGCAAGGAGCTGTCCGGCGCGCTCGTCGCCACCCTGGCTGGCATGGCACTGGCAAACTGCGGCTACCTGCCAGCCCCCGCCTCGGCTGCGCACGCGGGGCCAGCCGAGGTGGGGGCGGTCTTCAAATTCCTCCTGCCCCTGGCCATCCCCATGCTGCTGCTCAGTGCAGACCTGAGGCGCATCATAGGGTGGGCACACGCATGTGCATCGTCGCCCTGGGCCGCGCGTGAGCGGTGGAGCGCGGGGGCTGCTGTGGAGCGCGGGCGTGGCGGGCGGCCGCGTTGTCACTGGGCGTTGGCTGATGACATCGGGCCGCCATGAGCCATTCCCAGGGCCCCAAACCCGCACTGACGCCAGCCCCGCCAAACCGAACCAACCCCTGCCCTCCTCCCCTGACCCTCTCTGCTGGGGGCCCTAGGGAGACGGGCCGCCTGCTGCCTGCGTTCCTGCTGGGGGCGGCCTGCACCGCGGCCGGCTCAGTGCTGGCGATGGCGCTGTTCCCCCTGACGCCCCTGGGGGAGGACGGCTGGCGCATCGCGGCGGCGCTCACGGCACGGCATATAGGTGCGGGCGTGAGTAGCGGGCGCGCGGGTGCTTGGGCGCTGTCGGGTGTGAGGCAAGTCCTGCAGCGTGATGCACCGCACGTCTGAGTGTGTGCGAGTGTGCACTTGCATCTGTATCCCAGTGCCAGGTGCCTCCATGTGCGTTTGTGTGCTTCTGTCTCAATGCGTGCATGCATGCATGCGTGTGTGCGTGCGTGCGTGCGTGCCTGCAGAGGCACCAAGTGGCTTGCGCATGCATCATCATGCAACTGCGCACCCACGCCCTGTTATAGTCAAGCCGCCAGTGATGCTGACAAAAGACTAATAACCTGACTTTTCCGGATGTCATCGCACACATGCTGAGGCTGCAAGGGGCCGCTTGATCATTGTCGGAGGATGCCGCCGCTCGCTGACAGGCGGTGCGGCGTTGGGTTTCCACGTGATCTGGCCTGCAGATGAGACTCGCCCCTCTCATTCCGCCCCCTCGATGTCCCCCCTCCCTGCCCTTGGGTGCTCCCGCCAGGCGGTGCTGTCAACTACATGGCGGTGTCTGAGGCGCTGTCCATCACGCCCTCCACCTTTGGCGCGGGCCTCGCGGCGGACGACCTCATACTCACGCTCTACTTCACGGCCCTCTACTCACTCGCGAAGAACATCCCGCCGGACGCGGGGGACGGCGGCAGCGCCCCGGCGGGGGCCGGCGGTGCTGGGGCTGCGGGGCCTGGGAGCGGTGGCGGGCATGGCGGTGGAGCGGAGCGCGTTATCAACGTGAGCACGTTGTGGGCGCGGGGCAGCTGGTTGGCACTGGCCTGCTTGCAGACTCCCCTGGGTGCTGGTTCGAGGCGCCATGGGGGTGATTGTCCTGTTTGCCAATTGAGCATGTGATGACGCTGGCTGCTGGCAGCCCGGGCCCATGCTGAGGGTAATCCCTTAGATTCTGCAGCCGCCCCTGATCCCCCCCCCCCCCGCCCGCAGGTGCCCCAGGGCATGGCTGCGGTGGCGCTGTCGTCGGTCGTCTGCTACCTGGGGACCCAGCTGGCCACAGCCTGGGCCATGCCCTCGCAGGTGATACAGGGCGGGGTACTGCAGGGTACTGCAGGCGTGTGCACTGCAGGCATGTGCTACTTCTGGGGAGGAGCGGGCCACTGATCTGAAGTCTCTCGCGGCCTGAGGCCGATAGAACACTGTGCAGCACGGTGTGGTCGTGTGGATGAGGGCTGCCCTCATGAAACACAGTGATGCCTCTAGGCGCGCGCAGTAAACCCTTTGCGCCCCCCTCCTCTGCTCCTCCCCGCCTCGGCCCCCTCCCTAGAGCATCACCCTGATAACAGGCATCACTGTGGCCGAAGCAGTCGCGTTCAGCTGGCCTTGGATGACACAGGGAGCTTTGCTGCAGGCGGCGATGGGGTTGGTGAACCGCTTTGTTTGTCGTCTTTTGTGTTTCACATGTCTCGTCATCATCACACCTCAGCATGCCACCCAATTGACACGCTCTTAAACTGCATCCTTGCGCCATGCACATTCGCCCCCCACTCACCCCACCCTCTCACGCCAGGTCTTTTTCGCCGCCGTCGGCGCCTCTGCCAACGTGGGCCTCGTGCTGCGCACCGCCCCCGTGCTCTTCGCCTTCAGCGCCATAGCCCTGGGGGCGCACCTGGCGCTGCTGCTGGGACTGGGCCACCTGGCCGGCTTCTCGCGGCGCGACCTGCTCCTGGCCAGCAACGCAAACATCGGGGGGCCGTCCACGGTCGCGGGTGCGGCGGGCAGGAATAGGGGTGGTTGGGCAGGGGTTGCCGCACGCGGCGCGCCTTGCGCCCGCCTCGTATTGCTTTGGCACTCTTGGCACCGGACTGCTTGTACCCGACGGGTCCCTCCCGTGTTATGGAGCAATTAGGCCCGGCCCGCGCCCCAAAGTCACGGCGACTTGAGTGGGGCCCGCTGTCAGGTGTCGTGGTCACCCTTCCTGCGCGTGTCCTGTCTGACTGGACAACTGGCCAGTCTTCTGGCAAATTGCAACCCCCCACAGCCCAACAAACTTCGCCCGCACCCCACAAACTGCACCCGTCGCCCTCTCATGCTGCCTGGTTGCTGCCGCCCTGCAGGCATGGCTGCGGCCAAGGGGTGGCGTTCGCAGCTCGTGCCGGCCATCCTCACCTCGACCCTGGGCTACGCCCTGGGGACATTCATCGGGATAGGCCTTGGCCACACCGCAATGCGGCCGCTCTGCGTGCTGCGGTGATGCAACTTGGTCCTGCCTAACGTCCCACCACGCTGACTGGCAGGGACGCTGGTGCGTGAACGCCTCCGCTGGTGTGTGATGTAAATCGCAAGCATTGCATCATCACAGTTACGAACACTTGTGTGACGGATGGCGGTATGTGCCTGTCGCCACGCAAAGGCATCCGAGGTCGCATGAGTATCATCATTGCAGCCAATCTTGAACTCTCAGCAGCAGCACCAGCAGTGAGGAGGGGGCATGAGAGGGGGGAGAATGGCTGTGGCGTGCTTGGGCAGTTGCTGGCGCAGAAGCGGTGGATGTTGTTGATGGCGACGCTGCGATATCCCTTTTGCTGCATCATGTGCGCAGGGAAGTTGTGGTGCTGCATGAATGGGTTTTCAGGCACCTGCATTTTTGGGGGCACCAGCCAAGCGAGATGGACGTGCAGGTCAACGCACCAAATTGACCCATCATTTGCTGATTGGAGATCTGCTGGGTGGCTTTCTCTAATTGCCCTATAGCTCACATTGTGCGAGCGTGGTATCAACAGCAGAGCCTGTGGCAAGTGGTCTGTCACTTCCGAGCCTGAGTGCCACGCCACACTTTTCAACACTCACCACCGACCTCCGACACAGCACCCCCATCCTCACAAACGCAGTGCACGGATCCACCCTACTAAACGATTTCAAACCATTGATAGCTTGATCCGCGGTCTATCCGTGGCAGTGCATTCATCAACCAAACGCGGGCTGTGCGCGCCTCAACCAGACGCCTGTTGAAGTTGATTTTGAAATAGTACAGCTACAGTTGTACTAAGCTTTGCGGACGCTGCAGCCACCGCTGGTGGCCTGGCCCAACTTGAAGCGTGCTGCCGCTTCTGCTGCTGCTGCTGCTGCTGCTGCTGCTGCTGCTGCTGCTGCTGCTGCTGCTGCTGCTTCTGCTGGGTGCCTGTTGTTGGGGGTTCTGCCCGACAGCTGAGGCGAGTCGGAGACATGCGGTGAGCTCACCTGCATAGGCGTTATTGATCATGCTTTGTTTGTGGTCTTTTGCAGGCATGCCTGGCGCGTTTGCCAGGTCACGCCCCGACACCCTGCCGCTCACCTTGCATGACCTCCCCCACACTCTCCCTGCGGGACGCCCCTCCGTTGACCCTTCGTTCCGCCCCCTCACCCCCCCTCCAGCGCCCAAGCGCTGCGAGCCTATGGCGTGCGCCCACAGCCCGGCCCCATGCCGCGGCCCACCGCGAAGGCGCCCGGCCACGGGCGCCGTTGCCGGCTGGTGGTGCGCGCTGAGCTGGGCACCATGACCGAGAGCTTTGGGCTGCTGCTGAAGCCCGAGGTGGCGGCCATATTCAGCACAGGAGTAGCCGCGCTCAGGTGCGGGCGAGTCCGCCGTGGGCGGTCAAGCAGCTGCATGCAACCGATTGGCGTGTGGGAGACGTGTGTGTGCACAAGTGCAGCTGACAGGCGGCATGCACGGGTTTGGCGCAAGCTTCCGGCGTGGCGCAGTCGGAATCGGTGACGACGATGTGGTCGGTCTGAGCCCACCCGCGTTCCTGACCCGTGTGGCAGCGCGGCCCGCCGCGTTCACAGAAGCCGCGCTGGCATGGCCGTGCGCCGCCACCGCCCTCCTCCCCTCGGACACCTGAGACACCTCATCCACAGCATGCTGGGTGCCTGAACCCCACCGGCCACTCGGCTGCCTGGCCGCACATTGTTGAATCCCGCCCCCTGTGTGCAGTGCGGTGCTGGGGGCGTCCCTGGCTGAGGAGAAGAAGGCCAAGCTGGAGAAGGACGTGAGGGGCGGATCATGCT